TCTAACCTTCACCAGGAACAGCCCTGCTCCGGAGCCAGGCTGAGTTGACCGAAATCCCAGCTCTCTGGAAGAATAGCTGTGTGATCTTAGCTCCCAAATCTTGGGAATGGGTTAACACTGAACCCACTTCATAGGGTAGATGTAAGAATAAAGGAGGTGAACGGTGTACCACACTGAGTGATTCCTGCGCAAATGTTATTTATCCTCCCTGGGCTCACACTCCCCATCACCCAGGGGTTTATAGTGGGGGCTGGTGCATACTTCAAGAACCTCCAGTGGAGCTTCAGATGCCAAGACCAATGTGCCCAGAGGCAGGGGTAACAGGAGAGAGGGGTGGGGTTAGGAAGGCAGAGAAATCTGGACCTGACTCCACTGACTTTGGTGACGGGGCGCAGACAGAGGTGAGTCAGTGTGTGGGAGCTGGTGTGGTGGCTGGATACAGACCTGCACTATTGGGGTCCTTGGGTCTCATTTGCCCCAGAACATTAGCCCTGGTAGTCTGATGCTCCTGGAGAATGCCCCAGAAAATACCACCCCTGCTTCATGAGTGTCAATAGAGGGAGAGGCTTTGCGCACAGCCACCTTAAACAGATGGTCTGGCTTGCTGGATGTGCATGTTCACCGAGGGTGAGCCCTGCCTGCGTGTGTGCCCCAAAGCCAGCCAGGTCCCAGCCCTGCATCCAGGAGCCCTGGCTCAGCCTCCCTGGGGTTCTTCCCTCCGGGATGGTGTGGGGGTCTTTGGAACTGGCTCCTGAGGTCAATTTGGGATCCAGTCAAGGAAAACATGGCCAGCCCTGCAGATGCTGAGCCTTGTTGCTGTTCCAGAATCCAGAGACGCTGGTCCCAGAGAGTTGTGCCTTTGCCCCTGGCTGGCTCTGCCACGTTGGCTTCAACCACTCTGAGCTTCAGGCTCCATGTCTTCAAAGTTGAGATATTAGGGCTTATTCTGCAAGTTCGGTATTTGTAAGAATCAGATGTGACAAATTCAGAGAAAGCAAGCTGAGGTCCTATGTAAATACCTTCCTGAGGGCCTTCTCTGTGCCAAGTGGTTTCACACTTAGTAAATCCCAACACCAACCCTGAGAGCTAGTGTACCCGTGCCACAGACGACAGCATCGGGGTTCTGAGGATTTGTCTTTTTCACAGGGCCTCCTGGCACCCAGGGTAGAACACCAGCTCATGAACCCCAATGGGAGTTGTCAAAGGTGGGAGAACAGAGGTGGCTGGGGGGGTGCAGCAATGCAGCTGTCCCTGGCTGTGCCCCTCCAGGCACACACTAGAAGCTGGAGAGGAAGGACTTGTGATTCAGGTGAAGGGACAGACGGGTGGGACCTCCTATGTCCCCACACTCTTCCCAGGGCCTGAGCACTGCAAGTTCACCCAGGAGGTGAACATTCTGTGGCTTCACCTGGATGACAAGAGCGAGGAAGATGCCATACCTCCTTGTATGATTTTGTGTTACTACTTTGGGGCCAAGTGGTTTGTTTAGAAAGGAAGAGAGAATGTGAAATAATACAAAAAATGTTCTTTATTTAGGCAGCATTTTCTTTTTGTATCTTTTCGCATCACTATCTGAATTTTTGCTATGCTCCCAATCACCTACACTGCTTCATGCTATGCTAGTTTAAACCTACTTACTTTTGAAACCTTAAATCATATGCTTAAAAAGTGAAATCAATCAACAAATATCTGAATGCTTGCTTCAATGTGCCAGTTACATGCTTTTCTTATTACTTTTAAAAATAAATAGGCCCAGCCACATGGCCAAGTGGTTAAAGCCCCATGTGCTCTGGTTAGGCAGCCCAGGTTTGTGGGTTCGGATCCTGAGCTCAGACCTACTCCACTCACCAGCCATGCTGTGGCAGTGTTCCACATCATACAAAAAGATAGAGGACTGGCACGGATATTAGCTCAGGGCTAGTCTTCCTCAAGCAAAAAAAAAGATTGACAATGGATGTTAGCTCAGGGTAAATCTGCCTCAGCAGAAAAAAAAAAAAAATTAAAAGGTGAAAAAAATCTAAAAATAAATATATAAATCTATATTTTTAAAAATAACGTTTTCAGAGTACCACCTAAAGTCATCTTGTCAGTTACACACCGGAAAACAACGATTTGGTGCAAAGCTTCAAACTTGTGCTAAGGTCCTTGCCTGAAAGCTGGGTCGTTGAACTCGGAAGGAGTGAAGCTCCCAGGCGGGGCAGAGGGCCGTGGGTAGGTACCTGGACTGGGCACCAGGGGTCTAGGGACCATTACACAATCGGGCCATGGAGGTGCACCTGCCTTTTAACTCAACAGCCAGACCCCTGCCTCCCTTCCACCTTGAACTCCGCAATGACTAAGGTGTCTCTGAGAAGCAGCAGCTCTGAGCCCAGTGTGGGAGAGATCTGGAAGATCTTTGGGCCTTGACAGGGAATGGAGTTCCCTGGCAGAGAAAGAAAGGTGAGGCATTTTAAGCAAAGACAGTGACATAAGCAAAGGACAGAGGAGAAAGGGTGGTGGGCTCTCCCGCCCTGAACTTGGGAGGCACCCTTGTGGTTTTAACCTGGGCACAGAGGCCAGGTTAAAAAGGCACAGTCGGACCTCCCTGGCCTCCAGAGTGTTGGCCTGAACAGAGTTTTAAGTTTAAATAGCTTGCCAACTGAAAAATCGTGGAATTTTACCTAAAACACGGACCCCCTGGCTTCCCTATTTAAAATTCTAACTTCCTCTCCTTCCCTCTGCTCCATTTCCCCATAGCACTTAATGACCATCTATAGATTATGTGCTTAATTAGTTATGTTTGGTACCATTTTCCTCTCTCCCCCACCCCCAGGACGTAAACTCCAGGACAGGGGTTTGGGGAGGTCTTCTGTTTCCTTTGCTTAAGTATTTCAAACACTTAGCCCGTGTCTGGCACATAATAGATGATCAGTAGTATTTTAATAAATGAACGGAGGAAGCGGTCAGCACCAGCACCGACGGGTCCCACGCTAATGTCTGTCCCGGAGTCGCGGGCCGCGGCCAGGCAGGAGGCCCTGACTCCTCTCCGTCCAGCCCACGGGGGTCCCTCCCAGTGGCTCCCTTGGGCTGCGGGGGCAGCACCATGTTCCGTGGCAAAAAGGAAGCAAGCGAGAAGTTTGGCGTTTGCTTTGGCCGGACTTGCGAGCAAAGCCCCGCGCTCCGGGCTCCAGGGCGCGCCCCCAGGTCCGGGCTGCCGGATTTATGGCGGAGCTCCCCAGCTTTACCCCGCGGCTCAGCGATCAGGGGCGGGACTGAGCGGCGGCCCACCGGGACTCCGGGGCTGGGGGCGGGGAGAGAGGAGTCGGGGGGTTGGGCGAGTGGGGGGCGGTGTGAGACTTCGCCACCAGAGGGCGCCCGAGCCCGGCCACCCTGCTTTGTCTTGTCCAGGGATCACTAGTTTGGAGATTCCTAGCCCCCGCGCTCCCGAGACCAGGTGCAGGCCGGAGGATGCCCGAGGACTGTCTTCTTCACTAGATTGTTAGTTAAGTGCAGGGACAAAGTCAGTAAGGTTTCTGGCCCTACGCCCAGTGCCCCGAGGTCAGCTGGTCCGGATGTGAATGAATGAATGAATAAATGAGTGCAGGTTCACAGCGCATCTAACTGGGCGAGAAAAGTTGTTTGGAAAACAAGACACAAAAGACACCCACGGCCGGAGTCCCGGAGCTCTCACAGCTTCCTGCAGACCACTACCTCTCTCAGCTGGAGCTGCTGAGCCCGGGCCGGCGGGCCTCACCCACTCCCCCGATGGCCAGGACTCTGGGGCTCCCCAGAGACAAATGCCTGTCCCCCACCGCGCGTCCCTCTGATGGGCGCGGGGACAGAATCCACTCCATTGTCTGGCTATGCCGGTAAGGACATGAGGAGGTGGCTAGAGCGTCCCGTGGTCACTAGCGAGGCCCAAAAGGGCGCTCTTCTCACCTCTGCGCCTCCCTGGACGCCCGCCTGCACCCTCCCTCATCGGCTGCCCCTTCTCAGAGTGCCTGGGTTGCGGCGCCGCGGCGGCGGTCTGTCAGGAGGGCTGGACACCTGAGGGACGACTCGTGGTGTTCTCTGGACCAGAAAGGCCGACGCCAGGAGCACCGTCGGCGTGGGGGGAGAGAAGAAGGGGATTTCTCCTCTCATCATTTTGGGTCGCCCGGGGCCTTCACTGAGGAGGGGGAGAAAATAGCGAAGTTTAAACAATTATTTCTAGCTTCCATTTCTTGGGTCCTGTGTGTCAGACTCGATGCTGAGCACCGCGCGGTGATGGCGAGGGGAGTCTCGGTCGATTCTCCCAATCCCACCCTGTGGAACTGCGAGGAGCCCACTGCACAGTTGAGAGAACAGAGCTACAAAAGGCCAAGTAAATTCACGTTGACCCCTAAGAGCCTCCAGGGCGAACTGCTTTTGTTTCCTCTGGCGACACAGCCTCCTATTTTAGAGCCCCAACTGTGCAGTTGAGGAAACTGAGGCTCGCTAGTAGGTGATAGCATTGGCTTGGAATCGGAGTCGCTCTGACTGCAAAGACCAGTCTCCTTCCCTTCTGCCGAGCTTTAGGGGACGCTGTGCACTGAGCCTGGGCCGGTGTCACCTCGAGGTCCTACGCTAGGAAAACAGGACGCTCTTAGCTACCCCGGGACGCCGCCGGCCCAGCCAGCCCTCACCCCGAGGACCGACTTGTTTGTTTTTCCTCGGTTCTCACTCAGTTCCCGCCTGCGGGACTCAATCTCTCCATCTGCACGATGGGAACAATAACCAGACCTTCAGCCAAGCCTCACTGCGCGGCTGGGTTCCTCGCTGCAGGTCAGGCCTACGGAGCGGGACCCAGCAGAACCTGAGGTCAAAGGCCGGAGCACACGGCCTCCTCTGGAGCTCCCCGGGCACAGAGGAGGGTGGGAGGGAGGGGACAGGAGGAGCGGCCGTGCGGGAGGGGACGCGCCTCTGAGCCCCCGGCCCCCGCCGGGATTCGGCTGCAGGCCCGCCCCTTGCCGCGCGCCCCGCCCCGCCCGGCTCTCGCCTCTAAAGTGCTGGGCGCGCGCCTCCCGCCGCCGCACTTTCACTCTCCGCCGCCGCGTCCTCTCCGCGTCCGGCCTCCGTCTGCCCGCCGCCTGCCCGTGCCATGGATGCCAAGGTCGTCGTCGTGCTGGCCCTCGTGCTGGCTGCGCTCTGCCTCAGCGACGGTGAGTGCACTGGGCGGCGGAGGCGTGGGCAGGGCGCAGGGCTCAGTGCCCGGTGCCGGGCTGCAGCTCCTCTGCCCTCGCTCGGGCCGCCCTGAACGAACCCCATTCCGCCGCTGTGCACGGGGGAGCGGAGGCAGCCCGCTTCGCAGGGCGCGCTCCCTCGGGGTGCGGCGTTCGAAGCCGGGTGCGTAGCACCACTCGCGCTGAGGCTTCGCAGGACGCAGCCGGGCTCGGGTTCCGGGACGGGGGAACGGCTGCCAGACCTGGAGCGGGCTGCAGAGCGAGGTCGGGCAGGATCACTGGGTAGGAGCGCGGGGAGAGTGCATTCGGAGCCGGCGCGGGAGGGCGCGAGTGGGTGTGGAGCCCAGTCAGGAGCCGCGGGCCCCGGGCCCTTGCCGCCCAACCCGCAGCTAGTGTCTTCGCGCGCTAGCCTCGGTTCCCGGAGGCGAAAGGGCTCCGAAGCCCCGCTGCGCTGGTGTTGGAGATGAGATCGGCGATTCGTGTGGGAGAGAGCGCTTTGCAAAGCTTTTGCAAAGCATCGCGGCGTGCTTGCCGTGGCGGTGCAGTTGGGTGCAGCTGCGCGGCGTCCCCTCCAGAGGAGGCCAGCCCTCTCTGCACCCACCCTAGCGGGGCTCCGCGGCCGAGCCCTACCGAGCAGCTGTCGGGTTTGCGCCACTCGTCTGGCCGCGCGTCTGCACGGCTCCACGGTCCGCAACGACGCGGCGAACCTGGGCGCGTGTCCAGCTACTAGCTTCCTGCCTCTTCCCGGGGTCACCGAAGAGAGGCCCAAGGGCCGTCCAGGTCGCTCCAGCCCCTCCCCAGCCCTCAAAACACACCTGCAGACAGGCGCCTTTGTCACCGGCCAAGCGAGCGCACTACCTCGGAATGAGCGCTGCTGCAAAGTTCAATTGCCACGGCCTTAGGCCACTGGGAAAGGTGGTGTCCTGTTTCACTGGGAGAGGGAGAGAGCTTTTTTTCCTTTTGAAGCTTAAGGGAAATCTCGCTGTCCTGTCACAGGATACCGTTGCTGCAAACCAAAATAAACTGTTGCCTCTGAGCACAGAAAACAAAACCATGTTATTCAGGCCGCGCTGCCCTTTCTTGGCTGTGTGCGAAGTTTCCAACGAACCCTGCAACGGTTGAAGGACACTCAGCGCTTTTGGTGCAGCCGCGGTCTGTGCAGGGCTGGAGCGCCTGGAGCGCTAGGCTGGGTTCTGGTCGCAGACCCACCACTGCACCGCTGCATCCTTGGCGGCCGTGGTCCTGGAAGCCAGTGTGGGTAAAGGGAGCATGCATGCTGCTGGGCCAGGCTGCAGGGCTTGGGCTAACCGGGATTGGCGGCTGACCGCCTGGGAAGTGTTCTTTAAAAGCATAGCAAGTTGCTGATCAGAGCTGCAGAGGGACGCGAATGGAAGGCAACTTAGAATTTTTCTCTTGGCTGCAAAAGTATCTTAGACTGTGTCTTCACACTGACCCCTCAGGTCATGGGGACACTCTGGTTTGGGCATTAACCATTGAGTGGTCTAGTGAGACTGGAGGTGTCATCCTGCACCTCTGTGAGGACATGGTGCTGCCCCTTGTTGCCCCTTCCCTCCAGAGATGCAGAAAAGATTAGAATGCAGGGACCCAGGTCATTGAGTCCTGGGCACAGCTGACCTGGGGAGAGAACAGAGGAAGTGGGGGCCTCATCACAGACTCCTCCTGACCCTGTGAAGGGTTGGTTGCTTGCCCCTCTGAATTGCCTCTTGGCAGCTGAGTGGGCGGGTGGGAGTCCTAGGCTCCAGGCTGCTCTGTCCTCCTTGCGTGCATAGCCCAGAATGCACTTTTTGACCACCTGGAGCCTGTGTGCCCTCTGGCCACATGCTGAATCCCAAAGCTGTACTTCGGAGTCTTGTTCCGGCTACTGTCCTTCCTCCCCTGGCTGACCTCGGCCACGCAGCTGGGCCCCTGGGTGCCCTGGGCTTCCAGGGGTTAAACCTAAGGTGGGCCCCATTCCCAGGCCTGGTTGGAGGGGCTGGCCGGGGCTCCTTTCTCTGCCTTGAAGTGCAGGGTTTTCTGGGGACTGCTCTGGAGCAAGAGCACGTTCACCAGGTGCCAACCCCAGGTAACATCTGGGCCAGTCAGGCCTCTTGCCTGTATACAGAGTCACATCCAAAACAGTTGGAAAAGTTAGTAATAATGACAGAAAAGACACTGGGTGGACGCAGCACTGAGTGTGCTTGGTAAGATCACTTGAAGCTCTGTCACTTTAAAAACCTGTTGAAATTCCCCATTTGACAGGCAGGCAACTGGGTCCTGGGAGCAGGAATAAGAATTGCCTTTGAAGGAAATGAATAATCCCAGGGGGCAGAGGGGACAGAGGAGAAAAAGAGAAAGCCTGTGTTTTGAGCTCAGAGTCTGCTCTGATTTCTGGCCTGATCTCCGCTGCTTCGTTAGTGAAGTCAGAACAGCTTCTCAGACACGGAGAGTAGCCCCCACCCCTTGCCACACTGCTGCCCCTGCAGCTCTCACACTGTGCACCTTCCATCTCTTGGTTGTGCTGGGGTGGGGACCTGTCCTGCCCCGCCGCCGGGCCCCAGTTCTGCAGTCCGACTCAGCTCAGAAGGACCCATGAGAATTCGAGGGAAACCTGGAGACAGGACACTCAGAGGGGAAACTGTGGCTCCTCCTTTCCCCAGGCCATCCAGCCCCCAGCTCTGGGGTCGCTTTCCCAGGTGATCCGGTTACAGGACAGTATAGACTTCCTTTGCAGGGACTCCATGCAGTTGTTAAAAGCCAGGTCTCAGCAGCAGGTTTCTGGAGTCAGATCAGGTATAAACATGAAGTCTGCCCCGGGGGCTCTCCAAGTGCCAGGAGTCACTGAGCGCCCTGAAGCCAGGCTTTCTCCTTCCTGGTTATCAGTTTGGTCCTGGGGGCTGTGTGGTCTGCCTCCACCCCCACCCCCACCCCCACCTCCCAACCCGACTTGGTGGCTAAATAGGCTACTGTACCCAGGCCAAGTCATCTCTCAACTGATGCAGCCTTTAGAAAAAAATTAAGTCCCTCCATCACAAGGTTTCATGCCCCAAAGTGTAGGACTTCAGAACCACCAGGAGGCCTCTGGGAGCTCTGTAAACAGGCAAACTTTTTTTTTAAATCTCTCGACTAAATATTCTCAGACGTACATTTAATCCCCGATGAAAGGATCCACAGATTCAAATAATTTGGGGTATTAAGTAGGGTTTGGATAAAATCTGCAGGGAAAAAAAAACAACCCACAAATCCCAGCCCCTTGAGGGCTTGCAATTCTAGACTTAAAGAGTGAGCAGTGGGTTCTGCAGGAGCCCTTTGCTAATTTACACTAATGAGTGTCAATTATGGCATTTTGCAAATTGGTGAATTGGCAAACAAAGATGTACTATAACCCAGGAGGCTGCAGCATCCCTGCCTGGGCAATGAAAGCCACAATTGACTCCAGCCCTGAGGATCTCCGCGCCTTCAGAGAAGTGCTGGGAGAAGGTGGGCCCTTGGCCTGCCCTCTGGGGCCTCCCAGGTAGGAAGGCAGCTGGGAGTCTTTTGTGGTTGCCTGGGCTTAAGGTGAATGTGAGGAGAGGAGACTGGGGGTGGGGGGCTGGCATTCCCAGGGGAGATGCAGGAGGAGAGAGAGCCTATAGCCTCCTTTCTGATCCTATTCCCTGAGTAGGGAGGTCTTTCTAAGTTGGCCCTAGAGAAATTTATTTTGCAGAGAAAAACTGGGAGCCTCAGTACTTAGACTGAAGCTGATCTCCTCTCATTACTACCTTTATCTTGAGACGCCTGAGCTTCTTATTTTAATTTCCCTGTCCTCTTAGGGTCTACTCTCTCCCAAGGCCTTTTCCCCTCTGGCCCTGTAGAGGCTGTGCCTGAGCCCACCCAGAGCTCACTGTGCTGCCCAAGGAGGTGGTCTTTGCCAGGATGCACCCGTGACTCACCCCATCCCTCTTAATCCTACCGTCATTCCACCATCTTAAGCCTCAGCTGCAGAACCAGACATGCGTGTATCCCCAAGGCCTGGCGGGGTAATAACAAGCTGCCTTGTTATCATTATTCTTTTAGAGAAACCGGTCAGCCTGAGCTACAGATGTCCTTGCCGATTCTTCGAGAGCCATGTTTCCAGAGCCAACGTCAAACATCTGAAAATCCTTAACACTCCGACCTGTGCCCTTCAGATCGTGTAAGTCTGAATGTCATCCTCCAGGGATGTCACATCTAATGAGCATAGTAACACCTAATTCGCAGACTTGTTAAAGCTAGAGAAATGACACATGCCCAGTGTCCAACCTTGAACTTGGCATCATGAGAGGCGGCTGTTATTACCATGAAGACTTTGAGTTCACCTCCAGGCTGCACTTTCAAAAACTGCTCTTACCCTTGGTGCTGTGCTGGCTCACAGTGGTCTTTTTCTCTTCTTTCCATGCCTCCTCCCGTCGGGCAGCAAAGGGCAGCACAGTTGGATGCCTCCAAGCTGGAGAAACATGGGCTTCACCAAAGTTTCTGTGGGATTCCAGTAGATTCGCCAGCCCTTGGCTGGTGATGGTTCTGTCTGTGCTGCCACTTTCAGGGCTTTGCTGCTCTCAATTAATCCTTTATCACAGCACAAACTCACAAGACCCAAATTCAGTCGTCTTTAACCATTTGGTGAAAAACTCAAAATCATCAGCTCACTTAACAGCATTTTCTCCAACATGACGTGTGAGTTTTTGTTTTTGTTGGTGTTGACGGCAGCTGCTAACACTGGATTTCATTCACATGGGAAAAGAGACCAACCAAAACCACACATACATAAGATACAAAGATCTCTCGCCCAGTGCAGGCACAGGAGGAGAGCCTGCTGGCCCTTGCTTGGCCTCCAGGGCTCCTGTGCCCACACTTGCACACGGCGAGCATGGTCCTGTGTCTAGACACCGGGAGGTGAGGCTCAGGGCCTCCCAGGGACAGCTCACCTCCTGAAAAGTCCCAGTGCTAAAACTGGAGTGGGGGGGTACACAGCAGTTGGAACGAAAGCTTCCACTTCCTGAAGGCCTTTCCACCCAACACCAACTGGTTTTAGGTTTGATTTTCTTTGTCTTTTTTCCTAGCCTTCACTGCCTTGAACGTGTTTGTCATTTACTATATGTTTTAGGCCACTAGAAGATGAATGCTTTTCCACTGACTTTGCTTAGAATAAAATACTATCTCTCCTGTGAGAGGTATTTTGCCAGATACTGCATTTAGCTAGCGTGGGCCTGCTTTCCAGGACAGATGATGCTGGTTCACTTGTCTGGGAACGCACCTTGAAGTTGAAGAAGCCAAATATAATTCTCAAGTCTGGGCCAGTACAAAATTAATATACAGTGGTACCCAGATCTGGACCGCAATCTGCCTTGCTTGGAGCCGTACCCTTCCTCTGCACACCTCAGTCACTTGATAGGCAGGCTGTGTGAAGACTCCCATGGATATGCCCGAGCCACTGTGCTGGCCAGACTGTCCTCATAGACCCACGAGTGGCTGGGCAGGGAAGTCCTCAGGCTGCTTGAGATTACCTGGGACCCAGGGCTTTATGGAGGGGACCCAGAGAGGCACATCCAGGTCCTCCCCAGGAGTTTTCAGGTAGGGAGGCTGTGAGTGGAGCTGAGAAGTAGGAGGAAGGTGGGGTATGAACTTTAAAAAATCAAATGAGACCATGGGGCATTCGGGAACTTGTAACATCTCTGTGGAAACCATTTTTCTGGCAAACTTCCTACACTATTCCTGCCCCCCTGCACTGTCCCTCCTCTCGCTGCCCTCTCCCCTCACTGCCCTCTCCACTCCAGCCCAGACCACTCCAGTACCTCTTTGCAGGTCTCCTGCCTCCAGGCTTACTCTTAAGTCTGTCTTCCATGTGCTACCAAGATTATCCACCAAATAAAATCTGCTTCTGTCACTCTCCACTTACAATCCTCCCAAGTTTCCATAATCTCCTTTGCCCCTGGCACCTGCTCCTTGAGCGTCCCGTCTCTGCTCTTGCGTATTCTCGGAGCACATCACGCCTTTGCTGTACTTGCTCTTGCTTTCCCTCCTCCTTACTTCATTTGCCCAGCTCCTACTTATCCTTCAGAGGCCGACTCAGATGTCCCCCCGTGAAGTGTCCCTGAACTCCCCTGGGAAGACTCTTTTCACTGCCCCATATCTCTGCAGTGGAACTTGCTGCACTGCTAGCTTTGTGTTTTCCCAGCCCCCCTTGAACTCCTCTGGAACCTGAGCCTGCTGAGCGGGGCACCTGGCCCCACTGAGGATCCTGATGTGGGGGCCAGATGAGCGAATGCCCACATCACGGCAGCGCCTCCTTCCTCTCAGCCGCCCACTGTCGCCTCTTCTGTTTCGGCAGGGCAAGGCTGAGGAACAACAATAGACAAGTGTGCATTGACCCGAAACTGAAGTGGATTCAAGACTACCTGGAGAAAGCTTTAAACAAGTAAGCACAACAGCCGAAAAGGACTTTCTGCTAGATCCACTTGAGGAAAGCTAAAACCGTATGAGAGATGAAAGGGCGAAGGCGTGGGGGAGGAAGGTCTGAATGTGAGGACCAGGTGTGCCTGTGGGGGAGCGCATGGACCTGGGAACGGGCCTGAGATTTGCCCAGCATGTAGATAACGGCATTTATAGCATATGGTACAATATCGCAGCTTGTATTCATCCGTGCCCCGGACCCTTGCACATTGGCTGTTTTATAACTGGGGTTTTTCTAAGGAATTGTATTATCCCAGCAGCATTTCCCACCAGTCCGTTCTCTCATGATCATCACCATCATCATCATTCTCATTATCCCTTTCTAAATCAGTGATTACTTCAAGATCTGTATTTGGTTTATTTTCGAGCTTCTCCTGTTCTTCCCTGAGGGGTCTGGGCACAGTCAGGTGATGGCCAAGCATGGAGCTTAAAAAAGTGTCCTTCCTCTAGACGCTGAGGCTTGGAGGAAGACCGTGGGCAGCTCCCACAGGGGGCGCCCCTCCTGGAATGACAACCCCCGGTGACTCTCACATACTGACCAGTGTTAGGCTGTGGCCACTGCCTTCACCTCCTCTTTCGAGCTCGGTGATCGGGTCTGTGTGCTCCGTGTGAGAGCCACCATCACTGGGGACTGTGCTCAGACCCTCTCCCGGTCCTCCCCAGGCTTCTCCCTGCCTCCAACAGCATGCTTTCATCTCGCTTCTGCTTCTCATTTCTGGACGTGCTCAGCAGGAGGAGGGGGATTGCTGGGGCTCCTGCCCTGCAGCCCCCTCCTCCCCTTGCCCTCTTCTCCTCCTTGGCCCTCTGTGGGATCCTTCTCTGGCCTCCTCCAGAATGGGGCTGGCCCTCTCTTGGGCTGTGTGAGATCACGTCTCTGCCTTCCCGTGAAACACGAGTCTTTGCAGAATCAAATGCAATTTTCAATCTGCGAGTCTGCTTTGAGGAATTTGGTTTCTGTGATTGCCTCTGAAGCCTGTATATGCCAGGGAGGCTGTACAAACTCTGAGGTTTCTGAAATCAGAAGTAAAAGAGTAAATGAATACATGAGCCTCTTGCCACTCATCCCAACTCCTGAAGCCACACAGGGTTTCAGGTTCCAATCAGAAATATTGGCAAGATGAAATTTCCATGTATAAATGTGATCCACAGATGGGCCCGGTGGTATTGGTAACTTTTTGCAAAGCGTTTTTAAAATACTTTCTCGTGCATAATTTTTTTAACTTTTCTTTAGAAAACAAATGTATTTCAGAATATATTTATAGTCGAACAACTCATATTTGAAGTAGAGCCATATGAATGTCAGTAGGTTACATTTCTCTATTATCTTAAACTACTGGCAATTTGTAAAGAAATACATATGATATATAAATGTGATTGCAGCTTTTTGATGTTAGCCACAGCATATTTTTTCACTTGTACTAAAATTGTATCAGATGTGACATTATATGCACTAGCAATAAAATGCTAATCGTTTCATGGTATAAACCTCCTACTGTATGTGGGAATTTATTTACCTGAAATAAAATCCATTAGTTGTTAGACATGAAGCTCAGATACATTTCTGGAGTTTATGAAGATAAGCTGACCTGCTGGTTAGGTGCCTTAGACCCTTCCGTCGAGTTCACTTGTGAGTGACAGCTTCACTTGTGAGTGACAGCTTCACCTGTGAGTGACAGCTTCACCTGTGAGTGACAGCTTCACCTGTGAATGACAGCACCTGGGGTTTTCTCAGGAGCAGATTAGATCTGCAATTCGTTTTTGCGCCTTTTTTTTTTTTTTTTTTTAACACAATGAAAGCAGTGGTGCTGGTTTTCTGAAGAATAATATTTGACTAATTCCTCTTCCCCTTCCTCCTCTGCCTTGGTTCTCCTAACATTCCCATGTAATCTCCAGAAACTCAACCCTTGTAATATCCAGCTTTCACATTTTCCCATGTAAAAATCCCATAATTTCTGCCCATGGTTAATATCGAGCTTTCTCAGGAACAGGTGGCCTTCCCCCATAAATCATTAAATACCATTCAGCTTGAATCATTTTAATGTGACAGTCATGAGCCAGTTGCTCTAATAAAATTCTGCTAACCAGCCCTCTCCCTCGCTCTCCAGAACAATCCCAGTCATTCCCAGGGTGTGTCCACAGGCATCCAGGAAGGAGAAGGTGGGATCCGGCTGCCTTCTTTCTCTTCTCCTGGATGGCCATCTGAATTTTGGGCCTCCAACCTCCACAGTATTATTCGACTTGAAATGGGGAGATTTTTTTACATAAAGCAGAGAGTTCAGCTCTGCCTTGAGAAGGAAAGAAGCCCAAGGAGAGCAGATGGGAGTCCAGCCTGGCCCTGGCGTGCCTTCGCACCCTTTTAGGTGTGAATTCCTTTCCCCACTGGAAGCCTCAGGCAGTAGTGGGAACCAGGGTCAAGCTGGCAAATTGGCTATTGCTCTAACCAGTTCACAGATGTTGTGGAAGTCTGTCTAGTTCTTTTTGAATTGGGGAAAATGTCTAATTTATCTTAATGTACTGATGGTAGTGCTTTGCCCAGGGGCCTCCAGGCCTGAGACTGAAGACCGAGTTAAGAGGATACATGGGCCAGTGTGACATGTTGTGCAGACTGGGACAGACTCTTGTTTATTTCAACAGTATTAATGGTTCTACTAATTTTATCTAAGGGGGCGCAGAGAAGAAAAAGTGGGGAAAAAAGAAAAGATAGGAAAAAAGAAGCGACAGAAGAAGAGAAAGGCTGCTCAGAGAAGGAAAAACTAGTTATCTGCCACCTCGAGATGGACCGCAGTGCCCTCTGCTCCTGTCTCTCCCGGCGCTTTGTAAATTTGCTCTCACCCTCTTCCAGGGCACACCCCCTGCCTCCTGGGCGGCCGCTCAGACTTCCATGGGGGAGCAGCGCTTTGCCGCCCCTGTGGCCATACTGGCTCCTGTATTTATACGCTTTTTAAGGCCCTTCCTGACCTGCTAAGTTATGAAGAAAGTAGTTGTGCAGAGACTGGGATTGGGGTCTGTGACACGGAAACCATGTGCTCAGGACTCTCTAGAGTGGCCTAGGACTCTAGAATGGCCGGGGGTCTCCAGCATTGCTCTGGGCTGCTGAGCCTCCCACCCTGCCCTCCACTCCCTCTCTTAGAAGGCCCATGATCGCTCAGGAGCTCACACAGCTCCACACACTTAAGTCTGCATTCCTGTCTGAGACCAGGATGTGGCCGCCTGGCTGGTGCACAGAGCAGTCTGCTAGCCCAGCAGCAGGACCCCTGCCAGCAAGGGACATGTGCCTTATGCCCTCATTCCCCACCCCCGGTGCTGCCCAGCTCAGCCTTGTTGGGGCAGAGCTGGCTGTGGCCATGCCATTTGCAGGTGATAACTGACTCCTTTTCCCAAGTGCCTGTTGCCTGGCCCTCCACCACTCTGCCGCCTGGGGTGGGACTTCTCCAACACGCCCCCCGCCCCCCGCAGGCCTGGTGCTGTGTGAGTGGCTTTACCTCCAAGCACAGGTGGGTTTCTGCACACCTTGTGGGTAGAGTGGGTGGGAGCTCTGCACTCACAGAGAGCAGGTGTGGAAACGCTTCTCAGGGAGCCTCTTCGCTGGGCAGTTCATTTTGTAGATTCTTTAAACGGGTCCGCGATGGACGTGGAGGAACTGTGTGCAGGGCCTGCAGCTCTGGGGACTCCTAGCCTATCGCCCTCCCCCCTTTCTGCTAGAGGGTCTCCATGACTCTGTGCTATTAGGTTCCGGAACACAGCTGCCTCCATTCTCACTCATGGGAAACATCTGCCTAAAGTGAACGTGGTTTAAGTTCTAGAACTTTCCTCCCCGACCCACAGATTTATTGTCTGAGATTTCTTGCCAAGTCTCTCTAATTTGGACCGGAAGGAGGGGGATCACATGGGAAAGCAAGGCTCTGATTTCAGTAGTGCTTTGATAAAGGGCACCTTGAATGTCCACTCTTCTCCCCATCCCCCGTCGCACATAAACAGACACTCACCCTGCACCCGTGAGCCCTGGGCATAATTTCAGTACATGGATCCAGAAAGATGAAATGGTTGGAGGACAGAGCAGACGGATTTCAGGAGAAGAAAACCTCAGGTCCCTGCCTGTCGTCCTCACCTGGATCCCACAGCCTGTGTCTCCCTCAAGCTTTAGTGTACTCCTTCATGGTTACAGCATAGAGAATTATGGCCATTCCTTTTCCCCATTGGAGAAGTGTCCCCCTAGGGTCCTGCAGCCAAAGACCTTTTGTTTCCCACTGCCATCTCTTTTCTCTGGCTACCTCTCCCAGCCTGAGACCCTCTGGCCAGCACTCGGAATAGCAGGCCTGCTTCTGGGTGTGCGGGGTGCCCACCTCCTCCTGCCCTCCCAACCTCTGAAGGCATCTGAGTGCTTGCTGGGCTGCCCAGGGCTGCCGTCCTTCCTGTGGGAGCCAGCAGCAATTTTGGTCTGTGTGACTTTGGCTTAACTTTACAAAAACCACCCTGAAGAGGGTCAGACCTGGGCCTCCATGCTCTCCTTTCTCCACACTGCAGGAACAGTGCATCTCTGTGCCTAGACGGGGGTGACAGGTCCAGCCTGGGCACCGTGGAGAGCTGTTTGCCCTCTAGCCTCAGTTAGGTGAGCTATTGCTTCCTGGAGGTGACAAACTGCTTTCTGCAGTGCCCAGGCACAGCGACTCCGCCACAGTCCTGGGGAAGCCAGGGCTGTGGAGACTAAGAGAGCTGGCCCCACCTTAAGACACACAGGCACTCTCCAGTCCTGTCCTTGTATGACTTCAATGGCCCTGGGGCCTCACTGTATCTGACAAGCGGGCATAGCCGCAGCCCGGCCGAAGACAGGGTCTCCGTGGAAGAGCCGAAGAGCCGGACCTTCATTCGGTTGGGGGTTGAAACTAGGCAGCAGTGCACGCGTCTGCGCCAGGTGAGCAGTGCAAGGTGCGCAGCAGCCAGTGTGCCCGCCTCTGGGGCCACCCCTGGCCACGCTGGCCGAGAGGTCCTGGGGTGAGTGTGGGTGGTAGGTGGAAGTGTTTGGTAGTGCCAACCCCGGACGAGCCGGCAGCCTCCAGACGGAGCAAGGGAGGCCATCAGCCCTAACGTCCGTGCTGGGCTGAGGCAGTGCTCCCTGTCCTGTTGTGTGACCGCTGTGCCATGCCGTCTCCGTGCCCTCGTTCGTCCACCATGCTCCATGCTTGCTGCACTGGTCTGTCTTCTCCACTTCCCGCCTTCCAATCGATCCCTCGCTTCACCAAGGCTGTTTCACTGCCCTCCCCCTGCCCAGGGCCTCGGAAGGGAGATGCACTGCCGCGATTTGGAAGTCAGGAGTGGGGGCCCTGCTGGAGCAGGGCTCAGCATCTCAGGTGTGAGGCCTGGCCGCTGTGGGAACCCGCCTTAATGGTGTCTCCCTCTGTTCTTGTTAACAGGAGGTTCAAGATGTGAGAGGCGCAGGTTGGGTCAGACGCCTGAGGAAACCTTACAGTAGGAGCCCAGGTCTGAAACCAGTGTTAGGAAGGGCCTCCAGAGGCTTCCCCGTGTCTGGGCAGGGCGGAATGCATTTCCAAGGGCTTTGTTTTGCACAGTTTGCCTTATTTTCACCGTTTGATTATGTAGCAAAATATATGATGTTTATTTTTCATTTAGTTTGATTATCCAATGTCACTGGTGACAGATAGGAACTTAGACTAAGACCATTATTTTACTTGCTTTATTATAATATCTTTCCCATGGAGCCCCTGTCTGATTAGTGGTTCCTGAGTTTTGTCTCTGAGCTGTGCAGGCTGGGACCCCAGACAGAGGAAGCCTTGCCCACATCATCATGTCCCAGGATGGAATGCCAGCAGGAAGAGTCAGGACCAGTCAGCATGGACAAACCTTAGTGGAGGCTGCCCTATGCCACAAGGGATGGTGTAGGGTTAGGTTCCAGAGGGCTAGGCAGGAGGCTCCCCCCTCCTCCAAGTGAGAGCCGGAGTCCGCCTCTTTGGTGAGATCGCAGGGCTTCCCTGAGCTGAGGCAGGTGAGAGTGTGAGGCCAGGGTAAGGCGAGATGCACCCCTCATCCCGAGCTCTCCTCTGCATCCCATCACGTTCTTCTCATCATTCTCTCTCTCATCCATCATCATGTGTATCCAAGACTGTCTCCATGACCCTGGAAAAGGACTCTCTCAAGACCAAAGCTTTAATCTAAACTGGGCACCAAGAAGCAAATCAAAATGTCTCTGTTACCCGGTCCTGAAAACACTGTGCACATCTGTGTCTTGTTTGGAATATTGTCTGTTGTCTGATCCTGTGTTTTCGTTCAAAGCCAGTGTCCTCCGTGCATTCACTGTCAGTTCCTCCTATGCAAAGGCTGAGAGTGAGGAGATGCCCCTCGGGGCCCTTGACCAGGTTTCTGATTAGGGCTGTGGTCCTTTTGGGTGGACGACCTTGGTTTCCCCACTCATCACAAAGCCATGGTGGATCAACAGAGCACAAGGGGATTTGGTTTACAGTGTTGACCTCTGAGGACACCGACCCTCATGCTTCTATAGTTATTAATAGCTCAGAACCATAGAGAATTTTGTCTTCATTGTGTCAAGCCAAGCATTGTTATGGAAATAACAAGAAAAGAATCCTCAACTCTTTTGGTTTTGAAAACCCGATCCATAAAATGATCTATCCTGGACATGAAGATTCCTTCCCAATTAAAATCTGCCCTCATCTTTTTCACCATTGGCAATCCCATCATCTCTTATCTTGCATGATGTCCCCTGGACCTGCTCTGCTGCTGCTGTCATCTTCTGCTTCCAGGACCTCAAGGAGGGCATTCTTCTTAGAAAATGATGGGATATTTGGGAAAGTAGGTTAAATACCCTGATGTTTAGAGGGTGTCCCTCTACCCAGGACAGTTTGTAGAGTTGCATTAAACGGTTTAAAAATTTCACTTTTTGAAAAGATAGGCACTTGAGGGCTTTTTGCTTGTTTTGTGGTTTTTCATTTGGTCTCACTAATACTTTCTCCCTTGGATAAAGATCCCAGTAAAATTTTTAAAATTAAGAAAGTGAAAAAAAAGGACAAAAGAAGGAAATGAACGAATTGACAGGATACTGTAAATAACACGCAGAAAGTGTATTATAATAAAACAATCTTGAATTGTAGCTGTTTTAGATTTAATAATCTTTGAGCTATCAGTAACATGTGTTAGGCATTTCCATAAATATTCCTTTAAATTGGATCTTCCTGGTAGAAGGCCAACCATCAACCGAACAAAAATTCTCATCCTCAAACCAGCTATGTTATATTGAAAAAGTAGAGTGTGTGGGGCCTTTATTAGTTATAAGGGATACAAAACTAGTTTCAAAACCCTCTTTTGAAATTAACCTGTCACTATAGGCCTCCTAAATTATACATGAAATGATGGAATTTTCGGTGGGATGGTCATTTTCTGAGTAATCCAAGATACTTAAAAATCTCATAGAAAATTTGGAAGCATCTTCCCCTGGAATCCATGAACCAGAACCATTAAATCTCTTACTCCAAGAAAATAAACATGCCCATGAATCTTGACTACAGTTAAGAATCATCTCTGTTTCTCGCCTATAGGGGGAAAAATAGATAAGAGTAGAAACTGCAGAGAAGATTATTTGTGTAACAATTCCCCTACTTGCAATCTTCTCCTAAAAGGAGACTTCCCAGCTAAAGCAAATATGCATTTAAATAGTCCATTTGCAAAGGAAAAGGCTTTCCTGATCCCCTTTTGCTTTCAAAATGCAAGTCATCAGTTGATAAGGGGTCACCTAGCTATCCTCCTGGTCCAGTGCTGCTTCTTCCTGACCTTCCCTTTGGCTCCTTGTAACTTCCAGGGTGGTCCTCACTGCCAGCCTTTGCATCAGGACCAGACAGCGGGGCTGGGGGACCGGGGCTCACAGACATGCTGTGTGTTGGAATCTGAATCTGTTCCATGTGTTGTTTGCACTGTTCTTTGTCCAGCTCTGGCCAGGTGCTGAGACCCCAGCGAGTAGGCTCAGGAGGGGCCCTCTGCTTGTCTGCTTGTCCTCCTGAGAAAGGAGGTTCGGCTTTGAGCAGAGGGCCTGAATAGCGAAAGGTTGCAATCCCCTTGTGTGAAGTCCAGAGAACTTCTAAACCTTTTCATTGGATCCGATTTGATCTTCCTTTTCTGACCACTGCCTGCTGTTATCACCATGGGCTCCCTCACTGGGGGTTCATCACCTTTACCCAGGTGGTGTGCCCTTTTGCAGCTGGATGAGAATTGTGGGGTCCTGATCCCTCTACACATCTTCCCTGACCCATTCTGAGGGAGCTCCATCCCTAGGAAAAGCTTTAGGAACCTTCAAGTCCTAAGCAGACCACTGACATGGCCAAGTTGAAAAAACCCCACAGGAAACTTGTTATTCTGCAACCTCGCTGGACTCTCAGTCCCTGGGCAGTGATGGGGTCAGTGTTAAATGTGATAAATACTGTATTTTGTATTGTTTAAAATGCATCTCCCAGATAATGTGAAAATGGTCCAGGAGAAGTTTCCTGTATGCAGTGTGCTTTTTTTTTTTTTTTAACAAGTAACAACTCCTTTTGAGAAACAGCAATTTCTACTTTGAAGTCATATCAATGAAAAGATGTATATGCACTTATAATTTTCCAAATAAAGGCTTGTATTCAAATGTAGCAGCCAACGGTTTGAAATTAGTGTTACCATTTGGAATATTCCAGACTTGATTTTTCTTCCTCAAACTCAACACGGAGGGGTTATACAATCCTAACTACAATAGTTAGTGGAAAACAGGCCACTATAATCACTGATGGAGGTAAGAATTCTGGGGGCATACTTGCCTCTCCTAGTCAACTGATCTTTAGTAGTGGGAAGGCACTCCCTTCTCTCCAAATGTCCTTAGTTTTTCTGGATTCCCTTCCTAACGGCAAACCAGTCCTCTACTCCAGAAGAGATGGGTTTGTGCAAAGGCCCAGGTATTTGCTTGTCAGCTATCGGGAAGGAAGCCTCCACTTGATACTTCTCAGGCTTAGTAGAAGAAAACAGAGGCCCCGTCCCCAAAGGCACTGTCGAGGAACCAGCACCCTGTGCGTTTTCTGTCCTGCACAAGGGCCCTCCTGGAAACCCGACACTGATTCTCTCAACTGTGGCCAGCCAGCACTGCCCTGGACACTGAGCAGTGGGGGAGCCTGATAGACAAGTTCTGTCCTCACAGAAGTCAGCCCCTTCACACTTCCTCCCACATTCTCTCTCGTCCACAGTCAACCACGCTGAAAGGAGAGGCCAGCACAAAATCCCCAAACGTCTCAGTCCAGATTGCTGTCTCCCAGACCCTTTTGCCCATAGGCCCAGACGTGACCATGTCACCCCTGTGCTCAGAACCTCCCAGTTATTTATCGGGTGGTGCCATGTGGTTGCTAAGTTGCAGATGGACTGGAGGAAGAATGAAGGATTAGAGAAGGCCATGGCAGGAGGCTCTGTGGTCTCCTGGGA